TTTTCCTTTTTTTCCTTTTTTTTCTTTTTCTTTTCTTTTTTTTCTTGTTTTGTTTTTTCTTCTTTTTTTTCACCTTGCATACTTTTTTGTTTTCTTTTTTGTTTTTCTTGTATACTTTTTGCGTAGCTCCGTAATACATCAATCATGTCATGTGAGCACCCCTTTCACGCATGCATGCGTGCAAATATCCATTCTCGCCTCCGAAATGGATATACATTCGTATATTCAGATATACATTCGTATGTTCGTATATACGCATGCATCAAACCGTACTGGCGGGATGCATGTCACGTTGTATAGCAATCGTGATGGCGACGCGCGCATCTTACGGATAATGTAATGTAATGTAATGTAATGGTAATCGCGGATGGATGGATGGATCTGGGTCTAGATCTGGCCTCGCCTCGACTCGACCCTAGCGAGCTGAAAAACCCCCTGCTGGTGCAGCACTTTAAAGCCTTTAAACCACTGAGAAAGCTTCCGTACTTAGTAGCACAGGCGAGCTCTCTCTCCAATTTCAGCTGAAAAGTAAAAGCCGCCCCGATCGTCGAATTCTCGACTTTCGACTCGACTCTTATCTCGATGGATTGATGCAGGTGATCGATGGATGTGCTTTGCTTTGCCTCCCTTCGCGCGGAAGATACCAGACAGACAGACAGGGCTGATTGATTGATTGATTGACTGCTTCTCTCACTTGTTTACATTTCCATTCCGGTTCTATATAAGCGAGTCAAGATCCCCCTCGATTGAAACACCTCGCAGCTCTGGAAGGCCCTGATTTCGACTCACCTCATCATTTCTCGCTCACCACCACAACCCAAGTACTCTCCTCGGCCTAATTAATACACCCCCCTCGGTATCCTCGCCATGCCCGTGCTTGCCGAAAGCTACCCCCACGCGGCGATAGGTGCTGCGTATCTCTTGCTGGCCTTCGCAGTGCTAAGTCTCGGGTCGCTTATCTGGAGAAGATATACAACTATTGCCCGCGGCGCCACATCCTCTCGCACCCCTACTACTCAAACCTCCGTATTCTCTGAAGAGAAAGAGTCGGGGATCCCTCAGATTGGAGACCAAGAGAGGGTGTTACCGTCTCTTTTCTCTTCTTCTTCTTCTTCTTCGTATGGTTATCCGCAAAGCTCACGACCGCCATCCTCCCTGCCTTCTCTTCCTGTGATTGCTACACAGGACCTCGGTGTTCGAACTCAAGTTCCGGACTACGAGTCGCCTACCTGGCCCCCGCTCGTTTCCGCCACGGAGTCTTTTGAAGCTGCTGCTCGCGGGATGGTGGACTGGCCTAAGAGGAGAAGCTATACGGAGACCACGCTTGAGGATGTGGAGGTTCAAGGAGAGGTCGTGGTGATGGCTGGGGGTTGGAGACGCCATACGAACGTCTTTGGAGGGGGGGTTTGCGTGGCGTGCAAGGAGTCGGATCGGAGGATGAGATAACTGCGTGATTGACTATATCACGGAAAGAGAAAGGGAGAGAATGAAAGATGAAGGGGGGGGGGGGGGGGGGGCTTGGGGTGAGGTAAGGGTGAAAGCTAAGCCAAGCCATACGTTGTGGATATGTGTTTTGATATGTGCTGGCATTGATGATACTGAGGTGGTGAGTGAATAAATGGTGTTTCGGCAGGTTCGTGAAAGGTTATCAGCCACGCCTAGCGCGAAGGAGGAGAAGTGGAATACATAACGAGCAGAGTTACATAAAGCGGAGTGGAGTTAGGGGCTGGACAGGTAGAATTGAGTGCATTTGCATTGTGGAAACGCAGGCGGTGCTCCAGAGATTTCTTACTTCGATACTGATAATGGTGATTTGGGTCTGGAGGGAACTGGGGCATCAATCTGTTTGGTATGATCCAACTAGCTGTATAACTAAGAGAAGAGATGGAGATGGAGATATATCTACGAGGATAAGTGGGCTCTTCGTGGGATCTCATGAGTCTGTGGAAGAGATGTGCTGAAGCGGCAACTCTGCAAGTGACATGTAGATTGGAAAGTGAGAGAATAAGGAGAAACAGAAATAGGTTGAAGCTATACGTGTTTCCAACTAGACCTGATTGCTGGAGAGAAAAAACTCAACATCCAACGTCACGTTTTGTGATCGGATAAGCGAGCACGGGAGCGATCAATCCAACCACAACGACATGAAACCACCGGCTCCAACCTCAACTTCAAGCACTCTTGCAGAACCGTTTCTACTCCACGCCTTCTATGCATGCCGTACACTCTGTGCAAAGCAATACACGGCGCAGAACAGACATCAAACGTCCCGAATAGCCTCAGCATAGCCCATCAGCGCTCTTTCTCAGGCGCTCTACGCGTTAACCGATCTCCTGGAGCTGGCAGTGAAGCCCGCTGTCATGGTATCGGGCGACTCGATCAGATGGCATCCGGTTCGCCTCCACGTCCACATCATCTGGTCGAAACTTGCCAACTCGTCAAGCTGCCTACTCTAGGGGTAGTGCCGTCGTCCCCATTATTAAGCCAAAACTGAATTGACACATATCAATGCCAAAGGTCAAGGTGGCGAATTGCCCCTTTCGGCTTCTACTTTGATCTGGTACTCATGACATCCTGGCTGAAAAAGACGTTGTGGTTTGATATGCTGCTTTTCCATCGTGTCTTATGCGTCTATGCGTCTTGTATGGAGGGAGGGCCGTTGTTTCGAGTCCGAGCTTTGGAATATGAAATGCAGAATGTTTGAGGATTTCTCCCATGTTTGGACCTCTTTATGGCAACTGACACAGCCATCTCTATTCTTTCTACGCGTACCGGTAGTAGTTCCAGCTGTCAATATTCAGCCAATACGCAAAAGCGCAGAGCCTCAGCTTCAGCATCCGGGGCCTTGGAGTCAGCTACAACGGATATCCCCTGATCCGCAATTATTTCCCTTAACCCTTTAGTCATGAATCACCAAAACATGGCACTCGGCTAAGAACAAAAAATGAAGGTTCCTATTGGGTGGTCTGGGCATTTACAGACAGTCCCTGTACATCTCTCACAACTCTTCCTTGGACCTCCACTGATCATGCCCATCAGTCATGTCACTCGAACATCCAATCGTAGAGCTCGGGCTCTTTTGTTACATCATTGGAAGATGGAAATTCTCTCGCCTGATTAAGCCGAATCTGGCGTTGTCAAGTCTCTCTCGGACGGGTACAGCGCAGGAAGAGTATCACAACATTCGTGACAGCACAGGGCTTTTCAAACAAGTCGGAGACTTCGGCGACTCTGTCAGAAATCTCTCGAGTTGGAGTAAGCTTCCGAGAGCGGTTCCGGGCTGTAACCAAGGCGGCTGGTTTTGTTGACATCCAATATTTCCTTGGACCAGAATTCGCCCTGCTCCTCCCGGCGATCTTGTATAAGTAGATCTCACCATCCAGCCAGAGTGCCTTTTTTTCAATCATCAGCATCTTCAGCATCTTTAGCACCTTCAGCATCTTCGTCAATTTTCACTTCCAGCTTTCCCTTATAACAATCACCAGCCAGGCGCCGGTCGCATAACAATTCCCTACCATCTTTTGATAATAATTTTTTGTTCTCAATATCATAATCCCCCAAACAGTCTTCAATATGCAATACTCGTCAGCAATCCTCCTTGTGGCCTTCGCTGCCACCAACGTCTTTGCCCACGGTGTTATCGACTCAGTTCAGGGTGCCAACGGCGTGACAATGCCCGGTCTGTCTGGTAAGCATCCCTGGTAGCCTTGCAGTTGCCTAATCCATCTAACATATCCAGTTGTCGATGGAACTCCTCGTGATTGCGCTACCCCAAAGTGTGGCTCTGAAGTCGACACATCAGTTATCCGCGCTAAGGAGGCCGGAACTGCTAAGGCTAGTGCTCTCGGACGTACTGCCAATGGCCCAGTCGACCCAGCTGCAATGATCGCTCTCTTCATGGGAACTGGAGGAAACACGACCGATACAGTTGCCGCCCGCGAGATTCATGCCGCCAACGTACTCCGCCGATCTCTCGGTGAGCGTCAGGCCAACGGTGGCACCAAGACGCCAAAGGGCACCAAGGAGACTGGTGTCGCGGCTGCAGCTGGTACCGGAGCCAACTCTGGGCTCCCAACCACCGCCGATGACGGAACCATCACGATGACCTTCCACCAAGTCAACCAGGACGGTGCTGGCCCGCTGACCGCCATGGTCGACGGTACCTCGGGCGGAACCGACCCCGCCGCTTTCAAGAAGGCCGATGTCACCACCAACGTTCCCGGTATCGGCATCGGCGGTCTCTCCGCGGCTTCCACCATGGACTTCCCTGTCGTGATGGCCATGCCGGCCGGTATGACCTGCTCCGGCTCCGTCGGAGGCGCAACCAACGTCTGCATCGCCAAGCTTATGAACGCCGCCGTCACCGGCCCCTTCGGAGGTTCTTGCGCCTTCACGCAATCTACCGCCGCCAAGAAGCGTGCCATCGAGCACAACCTCAGCAAGCGCCGCTTCGCCCGCGCCATCGCCAAGCAGAACTAAGGTGTTCCCGTTTCTCTGTTCTCGGACTACACTTCTTCCTCTCTCCGTAGATTGATTTGCACATCATTGGTAGTGCTTTAGCTATAGTAGTTTTTTAATATTGTTTTTTTAATGAGAGCCACTTGTACGGAGTTGGGCGGGGGGGGATTGGGGGGGTGGGGAGGGGGTAAATATATGAGTAAATCCCGGAGGGAATCTGGATTCTTCCCGAGTAATGTATGCATTGTATAGAAGTAATCCTATATTTTAATTTT